TCTCGGCCTGGGGTCAGTGGGAAGTGGAGTCATGCTTTCATTTTCCATACCCATTGCTACAACTCTCTCCAGAGTCGGAGAGGCTGGGCTGCTGTTTGCTGATCATCTTGCTGTTGAGAGCAAGCCCTTGGCATAGTATCAATTTCTATTCCTGTATATTTTCTTACAGGAGAGAAATGTCCACCATATACTCTCCAGGGTGAATAATTGCTTATCCCCATGAGAAGGTTAATATTTTTCACTCACACCATTCCATATATGTATCCATACCTGTTCATTGACCCCATTGTTTTTGTGGGTTGCAGTGAATGGAGACACACTGAACTTCAGCATACACAAAATACCTTAAGTATACTGGACATCTCCAGGAGGTTAACATATATACAACTCACTGTCCAGCTACAGCTGTCCTGTATGACTCTCCTGTAGGCAGTCTTGACTGCCTCATTAACTGGTTGAGTGGTAAGGTTCCTCTCTCAAAAAGATCTCCTTCCTCTATAGTGAAAGGTGCAGTGGGAATCACCCACACCTCTTCCACCCCTTCTGTGAACTTGCACTCATATTTTGCAAACTTGCAGAAACTCACTAACAAAGTCTTTGACTTTTTTGTCATTTTTTTCCTTGATAGTAACTTCAGGCTCAACAGAAATCTAGCCACTTTTGCCTTTGATTGATCCTGACAGTCTCTTAAGCTGCTTCCCCTTCTCCCTCCCTCTGTCAATTGCTGTAGTACTTTACAAACCCGATTTACATGGCATTTGAAGTCACTCAGATCTGCCAAAGCATTCTCTAGACCCTAAGGATCATGCTCTGCATGCTACAGGCTCAGCAAAGCTACTGAAGCCTCTGAACTCTGCTGGACTTTCTTCTGCCCCCTCCTTTTATTTGTTCTCACATAATATATCCTGATTACATTTTCCCCTCCCACTACTTCTTCCAGTTCCTCCCCATTTCCCCTCCCATCCAGATCAACTGTCTTTCTATCTCTCATTAGAAAACAAACAGGATTCTAAGGGATAATAATAAAATACAATAAGATACATTGAAATAGGATAAAACAGAAAGAAATGTGCCCAAGAAATGTTGCAAGAAACAGCTATAAACATAGCGACCCACTCACACACACCTCAGGAATCCCTTAAAAATCACTAAACAGGGAGCCATTAATATATGTGCAAAGGACCTGTCAGGTAGAGAGTGGGAGTGTTAGGGAGAGGGAGAGGGAAAGGGAAAGGGAGAGGGGGAGGGGGAAGGGGAGGGAAAGGGGGAAGGAGGTACAAGAAACCTCTAAAGATGCTGTTGAGTTTATTTTCTGTTTCCCATCTAGTGCCAATCATGCTACCTACCCTTAAGAGTAGTTTGTTTCCTCAGTGATATTCCCTTGGATAAAACTAAAATTTCATTTGTAAGTGGTTATCAGTTGGACACAGCTTTTGGGTTAGGGGTAGGGGGTATGTGTTCATTTTCCCTTTAAGCTCTAGAACCCTATCTGAGGTAGCCCTGTGCAGGTCCTGTGCATGCTGCCTCAGTGTCTATAAGTTCATATGTATGTTAATCCTGTTGATTTAGAGGGCCTTGTTCCCTTAGTGTCTCCTATCTCCTCTGGCTCTTATACTCCTTTCTCCTTTTCCATAGGGTTCCCTGAGCCATAAGGGCGGAAATCTGATGAGGACATCTCATTTAGTGCTGAGTGTTCCAAGGTCTCTACTCTCTGCATTATGTCTGTCTATGGGTCTCTGTATATGTTCCCATTTGCTATAGGAAAAAGCTTCTCTAATGATGGCTGAGCAAGGCACTGATCTAAGAGTACAGCAGACTGTCATTAGGAGTCATTTTGTTTCTATTTTCTTTTAGTAGAACAGCTGAACTTGGTTTTACCCTAGGTCCTTGGGTTATCTAGTTTCAGGTTCTTGGTCACCCAAGCAGTGCCAGATATTAGTTCTATCTTGTGGAGTGAGTCTTAAGTCATTTTTATTTGGTCTGGTAGATTGGGAATCAAAAATTGCTTACCATGCTGAGTAATGTCTATCATCCTCTCAACAATCCTAGTCTTTCTTCCCACTCCTCCTAGTTCTTGAAATTCATGGAGATATGTCTGGTGATGACCAATGTCTATTGGTTCATCTGGGCCAGTCCATCAGGGACTGTTTTCTCTAGAATTGTCTCAAGTAGTATGGCTTATGTCTCAAGGAGTGACAAGTAGTGATATTATTCAGTTTGCCTCCTTCCATGATACTTATACTTATCTCATCAACCTCCAATTTTCTGCAGTCTCGGGAGCCAGGCTAAGAGAGAGGTCTTCCATTTTTCATCTTAAAACTCTTCCCAGTTCAAAGAGTTCAGAAGCAGAATGCTTTGTGGTTTCATGCACTGAGGCATTATAAAAGTCCCCATAAGCTCCTGAATCAAAGATTATATATTCTGTGATTTTAAAGGTTGGGCCTGTAGAATGTCTTCTATAATTTCTGTTTCATTTCCTTTCTCCTCACCATTGTGGTACTTCTCATATGTTTCAAGAGTTCATATAATGGTAGGGGTTCTTTAGCAAAGGTATAATTATGACTCCTTCTTCTTGCGCTCAAGTTAGAAGAAATTACAAGCCAGCCCCTGCATCTCACACTCTCCCCTATCAGTAGATAACATGGATGATGCTACCTACATGTCACTTTCTAATTGTAAAGTTCTAATTTCCACTTCATACATGAAAGTTCCATCTATATAGTGGGCTTGACTTCAGCTTCATATCTTATAACCATTGTAATGGATTGCCAAAATTTAACCCCAGTCTCAGATATTACAATGTAGTTCCTAGTCCTTCAACCATTCTCAATGTGTCCCCATACTCAAGCAGAAGACATTGTTCATGAGGGAGATGTGACGCTCTATACCACATGAGATAAAAAGGTCACCCTGGGCTACCTTCTCCCATGAATACCACAACTTCAGATGGCTCAACCATCAGAAAATATGGTCCTGTCAGAATTTATACCATCAACACCCCTTCCACAGTAATTCAGCCTTAGTTATTTATCTTACCACTCATGGCAAGGATCACACAATGATCCTTGCAAAATTGTCTTTGCTTCTGTTTATCTTCATGTTTGTTAACAATTTATGTTACTTTTCCTGGGGAGACATTAACAGACATCTGTTCACAAACAGTACCAGTGACTGACCATAGAAACCATTCGGCCCAATACAAATTTAATGAAGCAATGACCATGGTTTTCTAGGTTAGTTACAGGACTGTGGAAGACCCATAAACCACTGCATCACCAGAAAGTCCTACCCCATCACAGATGATGTCTTTTTAGAAACTTATTCATGAAGCCCTGCATTCTGTTAACCTAATTCTGATTTGCTGTATAACCTCCAAAAATCATGTGCAGTGGATAGGATCACAGGAGAAACTCCTGTGCCCTACCCCTTCTACTAAATAGTGTTAATATCACTCCTTCTGCTAACATAGCCCTAGCTGCTGCTGCATTATTCTGCTTCTTCATGAGAGTGATGGGATACAGTCGTTCAGGCCCCTGCCCAGTGGAGACTGTTTCACTGCAAGAGCTATCATATCAGATCTATGATATGGTTTATAGTGGTGTCTGTTCCAGAACCACAGCAACACTGTGGGTTTCTCTGTGTTCCTATAAACCTACCAATTGTCCTCAAAGAATCCCTAAAGAAGGAGGTTGCTGTGCACATATAGCTTTCTTCTATCTTAGTCAGGAGTCCCCCTGGCTTTTCTATTATGATAACAACTACTAATTTGCTCATGTTATTTTTCAATCAGCTCTCCCGGTCTGCATAGCTCATATTTTTTGCATTAATTCCTTCATTGTTGTGACCAAATACCTAACAAGAACTAACTTAAGGGAGAAGATTCTTTTAACTAATCATCAGGGTATACATCCATCATGGTGGAGAAGGCATGACAGCAGAAAAGGTTCACTGTTGTGGTCATGGGAATGTACTCACATGTCAGTAGATAGGGAAGCAGAGAGAAGGGTGTATCTTAACACTATCTAAAACACCTAGGTGATTCTAGGAGTCAAATTGACAATGGAGATTAACCACCTTAGCCTCCATGCAGATTGATCAAATCCTTATTATAAAGGAATATGTGTGTACTTTCACATTTATGTGCGGTGAGAAAGAGGTCAAGGACATGTGGCTAAGCAGTCACAAGCATAGTGCAATCACCGGGGGTGTGGGAGTCCTGAGTTGAGTTAGATGGATCAGGTAAGCTTTGAATGTCAGAAGACCTCTGAGTGGAAAGGCTGAGTGAGTTAGCATTATATTTCTCCCTGGTTCTGTATCACTGAAGAACTATGAAGAATACAACTCTGGTTACTTCTGCTTTGGGAATTACACTCATATAAGCATGTTTTGTTGTCACATGGTCAGAGGTTTGGGCATAAAATGAAGTCAGGGTTGATCTGGAAGATTCTAAACGGTTCTGTATGCCTTTGACTTTGGGCAATATTGACTTTTTTGGAGTGGTTAACAAAAGTGATAGGACTGTAGATGTTTTCCTCATGTAAGAGGCCCAGAGATTTCTGCTCGGTACAAATGAGAAATGGTAAAGTCATGAGAAAAAAAGACCAAGTGAATTAGAGAGTTAGATGAATGATTTTCAATGAGGCTCCATGTGGATGGAAATGGGTACATTGTACGATCATTTTAGGGTCTTAATTTTACACTTTTAGAGTACTCAAATTCCTGGTTCTTAGATGCAACATACCCCATTCTGCATCTAAAACAAACCCCACAATACTTCCCTGGGGATGTTTTTCTAGCAACCATGAAACAATATTGTTGGAAAGTTAACTGGAGTATACAAAAGTAAGGAGGCTTGGTTGTTAAGTGAGTCCTAGCTTGGACTTTCTATCTCGGGGTCTAGATGATGATGTAGGCTCATTTAGACATTGAGGCTCTTTCACAGCTTCATTCATTCATTCACTCATCTATTTTGCAAATGTGTCTTGAAAATGTGTAATAGTGTGCTAAGTTTGGCAGCACATATGCAAAAATTGAAATGAAACAAAGAAGATTAACATGGGCACTGTGCAAGGATAACATGTAAATTTGTGACTTTCCATAATTTTTCTACTTCAATGAAAGAGAAAAAAATCTCATAAAACTGAAAATATGGAATTAGACATAACAAGTTAACTTATTAATGCTAGAGACACAGTAAGGGTGGAGATACACATGATTGTACACACACACACACACACACATATTTATTGTGTGATATTTATTGAATTCTTAGTCTATCAGGAATGATGGACAGTTTGTGTTTTTAGTTCTAGGAAAGAATCTAGGGCTTTAGTTATGCAATGTAAATGCTTTGTCATTGAGCTACACCACCAACCTTAAATGAACAATTTAAACAAATGTGCTGTTTTGTAATAAAGACTTCCAGAAGTAATGTACCATGGATGATGATGCAAAATATGCCTTTTTAGGATTTAAGTTGAACTACAAAGTCAATTTGCATATTGTACTCTTGGCCTGCTAAAGCCATAAAATTATATTCTAACATTCCCTGAATAGGTATAAAGAAAGACAAAATGGTAGATTGGCAAGGTGCCTCAATGAGTTAGTAACCAAGCCTGAGAATCTAAGTTTGGAATCCCTCAGACTCACATGGTGGAAGGAGAGAACCAATTCTTGCAAGTTCTCCTCTGACTTCCACATGTACATCATTTGTGCACATTTCTGCAGATGCAGGTACACACCATACATACAATAAAATTTTTAAAAGAAGCAATATGGTGGGTTTAAGGAAAACAATAACTTCTGCATGGCTGGGGATGAGAGCAGTGCCAGAATTCAAGGCCAAAGAAGAAAAGATGTGACTTATCAGCTATCTGGTATGATGTATGATGACTGTATAATGTGCAGGCCCCCATTTCAGTTAGGTTAACCTTCTTCCTAGCAATCTGTGTTATTTTTATCCTGAAGATACCAGAGGTGTAAGCTCATCCATTACCAGAACCCAATGTCTTTCACACTCTCAATTACATCCCAAATGTCTTTGGCAATTGTGGTGTCTGGGCTTGGCCCGGCTCTCCTGGCAAAAGACAGAAACACATATCTTCCAGACTGGGCTCAGAACATGTCTTCTTGCCTTCTGGGGGAATTGCTGCTTGAGACATCAAATTTTACAGATCATGGTTTTGGAGAAAAATATGTCACCCCAGAAGTGAGTAGGAAATTATTCACTTTTGGAGAGATAGAAATGTCAAGCCAGACGGGTCAGGCCCCAAGCTAGATTTCCAGGCAGCTCCATGAGATCCAGGAACCCCAGCACCCTCTACTCCCAGCCCATCCAAGGATGTGCTGACTTAGAAACTGGAAGATGCTTGTTACTGGACTCTAACTTTGGAGCTTTTTCTCATGCTTGCTGCCTCCCCCTCATAACTATTACAATCTCCTATCTTAAGTATGGCTTCCAAGGATACCTTTCTTGAAACACAGGTGACTCAGAAGACTACATATAACCTGGGATTCCAGAGCATATTTTAACACAATGTTATCAAAATGCCAATGTTGCCATTTTGTAATTACGATATATATTTAGTTTTATACCCACTTTAATATCAGTTAAAATATTCAAGAATTAGTAATTTATTTTTTACATTAATGGACTGATGAGAAAATTAATGAATGGATTCTTGGGCTTGAAGACTCTTTTGGTTAGACTTTTGACCCCAAATCATTCTGGCTTTTTAAGGAATGAGTATCTATAGTAATAAGGTGCCAGGACTAGTAGAAACTTAGACTACGGATAAGTCAGTGATTCCACAGACTGGCCAGCAGAACACTTCCTTTTAGATTTGCCTGGGTAGAAACAGAAGGAGAGCATGCAGCTTAAATAGTGACAGATGATGCTTTGTTGTTAGAGAGATATGGAGACATTTTGGAGTTTTCTAAAAGAATTATATATAATCTGGAAGAGAATTCTTACAGTTTATACACATTTAAAGAAGAGTTAAGAGGTAGGAAGTTCTGAGGTGGTCTGTGTTCTCATTGGAAGGTTATTTTTTGATGTATGTGTTTGTTGTATTGTTTGTGTATATAGTGTGTGACTTTGTTAGTATAGCTGTGTGCATATGTAAATATAGATTCATGGTATGTGTGTGTGCTTGTGTGTAGGTCAGAAATATCTTTTCCTGGCTTGTTCTCCGTCTTTATTTTCAGAGGTATTTCCTCACTGTACCTGAATTTCATCAATTTGGCTAGACTGGCTAGTCAGTGACCTTCAAGAATCTTCCTGCTTCACTCATCTTCCCTTTCAGGAAGGGTAAAAGCATAGACCAACTTTCCCAGTCTTTTTTTATGTTTGTTCTGGGGATTCAAACTCAACTCCTCATGCTTGACATCTCCATCACCTCCTCTATCCACTCTTGACATCTTTTTACAGCGTTGCCAGATGTGTTGACAGGTGGTCCTTGCCTGGCCACCTTCTCTGATGGAGGAAATCCTATAGTCCAGGACAACTTAGTGGTCTTAGGTGTAACAGTCTGTTGCACTGTGCACTGTTTACAGTTAGGCACTTAAAATGGATGTCACACTCTCTAAATGCTGTCTTTCAATTGTGACAACTGAAATTGGCTTCAGACAATGGCCATTTCCCTGGGGATGGAAAGCAAAACCAACCTTGGTTCAGAACAACTGACTTAGAACCATCCTAGCAGGATGTGGGCTTCATTAGAGTGTAAGCTATCGATTTTGTTTATGATCCATTTTCTTTTTTTTGTCAAAGTAAAACAACAAAAACACAAATAAATCTACCAGGCATTTTCTTTTTGGAACAGTTTCCTCCACTCCTCCAGAACATTCAGACCTGATAAGCCTTTTTCTGAACTCAAGGGGACAGAACCCTCTGACTATGGACTTCCAAAGAAAACAACAACTCTCTGGAGATACAAATAGCTGTTTTATCAGGGCTCATCTCAAACAGGTCTAACGTAGATGAAGATAGGCCACCATTGTGAGATTTCTGAAAACACCATCTGAGCTCTTGGATTAAGTACACTCGGAGTCAAATTATCTAAATTTGAAAAGATGTCCCTATGCTTGTTAGTGACCAAAACAAAGTACATTCTTTCTGGTAGTTGATTTTAGCTGCATGTCAACCAGTTATATCTAGAGAAAAGGTATGAGTTTTTATGTTGTTTTTTTTTTTCCTTTTTTTTATTTTCCAGTTTAAATTTAGATAAGAAATGAGGTTGCTTCACAAGTCAGTTCCAGGTCCCTCTCCCATTCCCTCCCCTCCTCCTGTGCCCTCCCCCCAACCCCCCCCCCCCGTTATCCCCTCATTCCCCCAGGGAGGGTGAGGCCCTCCATGGGGGTGTCCATAGTCTGTCATTTCATATAGGGCAGGGCCTAAACCCTTCCCCAAGAGTTCAGGGTGAGAGTGCACCTCACATTGTTCTATGGGAGTCCAAAGTCCGTGTGTATACTTGGGATGGGTACTGATCTGCTGCCCAAGGCTCAATAGATTCCCTAGGCCTCCTCACTGACACCCAAATTCAGGGGGTATTGATCAGTCCCATGCTGGATTCCCAGGCTGATGCCTGGGTTTCAAGAGTTAACCTTTGTCTAGTCAGCTGTTTCTGGGGGTTAAACCAGCCCAGCCTTAATCCCTTTGATCACCAGTCCTCCCTCTCTGTTACTGGCTTTCTTGAGTTCAGCTCAGTACTTAACCAAGGGAGTCTGCCTCTTCTTCGATTAGCCACTAAACGAAGTTTCTGTTTCCCAGACTCTCTGGCCATAGGATTGTAGGCTGGCACTCCCCAGATCTATGTCTAAAATCCATATATGAGAGAGTACATGCCATGTTTCTCTTTTTGTGACTGGGTTACCTCACTCAGGATGGTTTCTTCGAGTGTCATCCATTTGCCTGCGAATCTCATGATTCCGTTATTTTTTTTCTGCTGAATAGTACTCCATTGTGTAGATGTACCACATTTTCTCTATCCACTCTTCGGGTGAGGGACATCTAGGTTGCTTCCAAGTTCTGGCTATTACAAATAAAGCTGCTATGAACATAGTGGAACATACATCTTTGTTGTATGAATGGGCATCTTTTGGATATATGCCTAAGAGTGGAGTTGCTGGGTCTTGTGGTAGGTTTATTCCCATTTTTCTGAGGAATCTCCATACTGATTTCCAAAGTGGCTGAACCAGTTGGCACTCCCACCAGCAATGGAGGAGTGTCCCCCTTTCACTACATCCTCTCCAGCATAAATTGTCATTGGTGTTTTTGATTTTAGCCATTCTGACAGGAGTGAGATGGTATCTCAGAATTGTTTTTATTTGCATTTCCCGGATGGCTAAGGATGTTGAGCACTTTCTCAAGTGCCTCTCAGCCATTTTAGACTCCTCTATTGGAAACTCTCTATTTAGTTCTGCAGCCCACTTTTTAATTGGGTCCTTTGCTGTTTTGGAGACTTGCTTCTTGAGTTCTTTGTAAATTTTGGAGATCAACCCTCTGTCAGATGTGGGATTAGTGAATATTTTTTCCCATTCTGTGGGCTGCCTTTTTGTCTTGCTGACTGTGTCCTTTGCCTTACAGAAGCATCTCAGTTTCAGTAGGTCCCATTTATTAATTGTTGATCTCACTGTCTGGGCTACTGGTGTTATGTTCAGGAAGCTGTCTCCTATACCAATTCGTTCAAGGGTACCACCCACTTTCTCTTCTAAGAGGTTCAGTGTGGCTGGATTTATGTTGAGGTCTTTGATCCATTTGGACTTAAGTTTTGTGCATGGTGATAAACATGGTTCGACCGCATTCTTCTACATGCCAGTCTCCAATTATGCCAGCACCATTTGTTGAAGATGCTTTCTTTATTCCATTGTATATTTTTAGCTTCTTTGTCAAAGATCAGATGTTCGTACGTGTGTGGGATAATACCCGGATTTTCAATTCGATTCCATTGGTCTACCTGTCTATTTTTGTGCCAATACCAAGCTGTTTTCAGGACTATAGCTCTATAATAGAGCTTGAGGTCAGGGATGGTGATGCCTCCAGACGTTGCCTTGTAACAACATAAACAGCCAAAACAACCCTGTTTTTTTTAATCATACTTTTTTTTA